ACCCAGATGTGCGGAGCGGCCCGCACCATGGAGCCCCTCCTGAGCCCAAAAGGAGTCCTCGGTTTGGCGTCGTGGGAAAGGGAGGAGGAGGAGGAGGAGGAGGAGGAGGAGGAGGAGGAGGAAGGAGGAGGAGGAGTAGTAGGAGGAGGAGGAGGAGGAGGAGGAGGAGGAGGAGGAGGAGGCAGGAGGAGGAGGAGGAGGAGGAGGAGGAGGAGGAGGAGGCAGGGAGGACAGGAGGAGGAGGAGGAGGAGAGGAGGAGTGGAGGAAGGAGGAAGGAGGGGAGGAGGAGGAGGAGGAGGAGGAGGAGGAGGAGGAGGAGGAGGAGTAGGAGGAGGGAGCGAGGAGGAGGAGGAGGGAGGAGGAGGAGGAGGAGGAGGAGGAGGAGGAGGAGGAGGAGGAGGAGGAGGTAGGAGGAGGTAGGAGGGAGCGGGAGGAGGAGGAGGATGAGTGAGGAGAGGAGGAGGAGGAGGAGGAGGAGGAGGAGGAGGATGAGGAGGAGGAGGAGGGAGGAGGAGGAGGGAGGAGGAGAGAGGAGGAGGAGGAAGAGGGGGGAGGAGGAGGTGGGAGGGAGGAGGAGGAGGAGGAGGAGGAGGAGAGAGGAGGAGGAGGAGGAGGAGGAGGAGGGGAAGAGGAGGAAGGAGGATGGGGAGGGGGAGGGGGAGGGGGAGGAGGAGGAGGAGGAGGAGGAGGAGGAGGAGGAGGAGGAGGAGGATGAGGAGGAGGAGGAGGAGGAGGAGGAGGAGGAGGAGGGAGGGGTGAGGGGAGGGGGAGTGGGGAGGGGAGGGGAGGAGGAGGAGGAGGAGGAGGAGGCAGAGGAGGAGGAGGAGGAGGAGGAGGAGGAGGAGGAGGAGGGAGGAGGAGGGGAGGAGGAAAAATCCTTGCGTACTGAGGTAGGAGGAGGATGTTATATCATATTATGCGGTATTGCGTCCTTGCCTGTTCTACCCGTCCTTGGCCACAGATCCTGCAGGCATCCTGCAGGCATCTGCCACGCGGGCGCGCAATGGTCTTGCACCCTCGTAGTATCACTGGGTCCTCTAAACTTGAAGCATGGTGGAGAAGACGATGATTCTGACGACAATGATGATGCTACTGCAGCTGATGACGATGATGATGACGAACATGACGATGATGATGATGATGATGATGATGATGATGATGATGATGAGGATGATGATGATGATGATGATGATGAGGACGATGATGATGATGATGATGCGGACGATGATGATGGGCATGACGATGACGACGACGATGATTCTGATTCCGAGGATTATGATGATAATGAGGATGCTGATGGTGATGATGATGATGATGACACTGATTATGCTGATGATAATTGTTATGAGGATGAGGCTGCTATGATGATGACGAGTATGATTATGCTACTGATGATGCTGATGATGCTGCTGCTGATGATGACGATGATGATGATGATGATGACGACGACATGACGATGACGATGGCGATTATGACCATGACGATGCCGACGACGACAACGACTGCGATGCTGATGTCGATGACGACAACAACGTCGGCGATGATGACGATGATGATATCGATGCTGCTGCTGATGATGATGATGATGATGATGACGGTGATTACGAGGATGCTGTCGCTGTCGCTGTCGCTGTCGCTGACGCTGTCGCTGACGCTGACGATAATGATTACGCTGATGATGATGATTATGACGATGATGATGCTGATGCTGATGCTGATGCTGCTGCTGCTGCTGATGATGATGATGATGATGATGACGGTGATGGTCATGACGATGATGATGTCGCTGTCGCTATCGCTGTCGCTGACGTTGTCGCTGACGCTGACGATAATGATGATGCTGATAATGATGATGATGATTCTGATGATGATGATGATGATGACGGTGATGGTCATGACGATGATGATGTCGCTGTCGCTGCCGCTGTCGCCGCCGACGACGACGATGATGCTGATGATGATGATGATGATGGTGATGATGATGGTGATCGGATGATGATGATGATGATGATGATGATGATGATGATGATGATGATGATGATGATGAAGATGGTGTTGCTGCTGATGCTGATGCTGCTGCTGACGATGATGAGTGATGATGGTGGTGGTTGTGCTGCTGCTGCTGCTGTTTGTGATGAGCGTGTATGAGGAGGTTTAAAGCAATCATGGCGATCAATTGTTGTTGTTGTGATGATGATGATGATGATGATGATGATGATGATGATGATGATGATGATGATGATGATGATGATGATGATGATGATGATGATGATGGTGGTGGTGGTGGTGGTGGTGGCGGCGATGAGGATAGGAGGAGGAGGAGGAGGAGGAAGAGGAAGAGGAGGAATTGGACCGGTGTACACCCACGACGCATCAACGATGTTGAAGTGTCCTCCCATCCAACTTCCCTCTTCAGAGGCCCGTGCATGAATTGATTTCCATTGTGGGAGGTGCCCCATTGAAAGACAACCGTCTGAACGTCCTCAATCGCGCCAAAGCACCACTCCTGGGACTGCAACGCGGCGAACCATCATGTTTGCTGCGTTCTGACAACCCTAAAACGTGCCAGAACAGTACTCCTGGGGCCTCATGACGAGCGCGTTCTGTGGATGCTGGGAAGGGGGGCAGCGGGGGGGGGAGCGGGGATTCGCACCAGGGGGGACCCTGAATTGCAGGGGGGCGGGTGTCGAACCGGCGGCCACGCCCTCCCCCCCCTCAAGGGGGAGAGGGAAGCGGCGGAACGGGGGGGGGGGAACCCCTCTGAATTGAAGGGGTTGGGGTGTAACCGCCCCCCCACCCCTCCTCCTTGATCGAGCTTCAGTACGATGCAATGAGAGCTGGATCCAGCTATTAGTAGGACTTTGTTGGGCTTGAACGAGCTCGACTAGGATGATATCAAAGTTTGGCCCGGCTGCAGTAGGATTATACCAGAGCTGGATCGAACCTAAATCGAATTCTTTTAAGGTTGGAGCGAGCCCGACTAGGACTCTATTAAGGTTTGATCCAGCCATAGTGGATTATAGCTCGATCGAGCACTCATAGGACTGTAGAAGGGGGAGGGGAAGGGGCGGTTCGACCGCCCCCCTTGCATAGCCCTTCCCCCACCCATCCGTTCGACCCTCCCGACCCTGGTTGAGAGGCCGATGTCCAGCCCCCTTCCCGTTCTCAGGGCGTGCTTGTTTTGGCCCCCTCCCCTCCCCCTGCTCCAGCGTGTCCAGGGATTTCTCCCAACCTTCCAGTGTTTTTGGTTCTCGCTTTGAACAGAGCGCTGGTCTTCGCCTCGTCCGCTCCCGCCTCCCTCCTCCCTTGCTCCTCCGCGGCTCCCTGGGTGGCAGCGGACTGCGCAATTGTCGCCACTTTCGTGGGCTCATGGGATGAACGACGGAGGAAGGGAGTACACCCACCCAGCCGAGACCTCGCGGCGCCCTGGGTGGCTGCGAACTGCGCAACTGTCGCCACTTTCGTGTGCTCGTGGGAGTCACGGAGGAGTCGAGGAGCATGCGCACCCAGCCGAGCCCTCGCAGCGAACTGCGCAACCGTCGCCACTTTCGTGGGCTCGTGAGAGGTCGAGCGGAGTCGGGGAGTACGCGCGCCCAGCGGAGACCTCGTGGCTCCCTGGATGGCTGCGAACTGCGCAATTGGCGCCATTTTTGTTGGCTCCTGAGAGGTCCAGCGGAGTGAAGGTGTCCACGCATCCAGGCGAGACCTCTCGGCCCCTTGGGTGGCTGCTAAGTGTGCAACTGGCGCCACTTCTGTGGGCTCATGCGAGGTTCAGCGGAGTGGAGGTGTGCGCGCATCCAGACGGGGCCTCGCTGCTCCCCGGGAAGCTGCGAACTGCGTAACTGGTGCCACTTTCGTGGGCTCCTGGGAGGTCCAGCGGATAAGCGGGGTTGCGCGCATCCAGACGGGACATCGCGGCTCCCTGGGTGGCTTCGATCTGCACAAGTGGCGCCATTTTCGTGGGCTCTTGGGAGGTCCAGCGGAGTGGAGGTGTACCCGCATCCGGACGAGACATCGCGGTTCCATGGGTGGCTGCCAACTCCTCAACTGTCGCCACTTCGTGGGCTCCTGGGAGGTCCAGCGGAATGGAGGTGTACGCGCATCCAGAAGAGACCTCGCTGCTCCCTGGGGAGCTGCGAACTGCGCAACCGTCGCCACTTCCGTGGGCTCCTGGGAGGTCCAGCGGAGTGAGGACATCCCAGATCACTTCGAGACCCCACGGCCCCGTGGGGGGCCGCGAACAGCGCAACTGTCGCCACTTTCGTGGGCTCCTGGGAGACATGGCGGAGGTGAGGGCAGCGCAGATCAGTTGAGCCCTCGCGGCTCCTTTGGGCGCTGCGAACTGCGTAACCGTCCCCACTTTCGTGGGCTCCTTGCAGGCACGGCGGAGTACAGGGCGCGTGCCCATATGGCGCGATACGCCGTCGCGTCATTTATCGCTCGATACTGTTGTATTACGGAGCGCAGGGCGCTGGAAGGCCACGTAGTGAATGGCGTTGTCCTCTGTGGCCCACTCCAGCGCAGGTTCGCGACGCGCGTGGCCCGACAATGTTCGGCGAATCATGACAGAGTGCTGCATATCTCGCAATGTGTTCTTTTGTATGGCGCATCCATATAGATAGTCGCCTTGCGTGGAGAAACTATCCTGTACGTCTCGGGTACTTCCCAGACGAGCATCCACGAAACATGTTCTGTCGGATTTCAACGCCGCGAATCAACGTGAGTGTTTTGCGTGCTCGCAATCCTAATCGCGCCAGAACACCATTCCTGGGACTTCAATCCTACGATCGGTTGAACGCTTGTAAGACGAGTGCGCGTTGCGCTAATGCGCCACATTTTCAAAACGGCCCGCCCTCAATCCCTTGAAGCTGTTGCAGACTTGTGAGACGAGTGTTCGCGGCGCTGAGGCCAGAACCACATCTGGGAAAACAGCAGCCCTCCACCCTGGAAGCTGCTGCAAACTTTACAAACGACGAATGGGCACGGTGCTCGGGCGAGAGCCACATTTGGATCACGGCCGCCCTACATCCTTGAAGCCGTTGCAAGCTTTTTAGCCGAGTTTCAGGATGTCAGAAGGCGCCCCGCTCCCAAACAGACCAGCCCACGTGCAGCAGCAACTGCCGTCGCCGACTGGCCGAGTCGGCGGTGTATCACACGGCACGATGCGACTGAGTTCGGCGGCGGCCCCCTTCGTGCCGCAGGACGCGCTGCTTGCCAAGGCGGAAAAGTACTACAGCCACCAGGGTCCGAAGGCGACGGGGCCGGTGGTCCCGGACGACGGGGGCGGTGTCACTGCCGCCGTGCTCGGAGCGGCGAAGGGCGCGGGGCGTACGTCCCTGCCCCTCCAGGCGAGCAGCGCGGGCGTGGACCAGCGCCGGGAAATGCAGAAGCGCGGGCCAGCCGCGCGCTCCCGCCGCCCGTCCCCGGTGTTCGCAAACCTGGCCGCGACGGCTGCCGAAGCGGCGCAGGCGCCAGAGCGGGCGCGGGAGCGGGCGCGCTCGGACTTCCAGGAGGGCGCGCGGCTCCAGGGCCCGGCCTCCGACGACCGCCCCAGGGGACAGCGGCTGGGCCCGGCGGCGGCGCCGGGGCCGCGGCTGCTGCCGGACAGCCCGCGCTACCCGTTCCCGCCGCTGCAGATGCCTTCGCGGACGCCGTCCCCGTCGGGGAAGTACGGGTACATGGCGCGCGTGCAGGAAGCGCTGTTCCTGGGCGGGGCCGGCGACGGCGACGAGGCGGAGCGCATGGCCCAGGCCGAGGACGCGCCCGCCCAGGCCCAGCACGTCGAGGCCGAGGACCGCTTCCAGGAGTTCCTCTACCTGCGCTTCGGGGGCGCGGCCGCGGAGGCCGGCGCGGCCAAGCTGGGGTGCCCCAGCGCCCTGAGCACCGCGACCGCGGGCAGCGGCCTCTGGGTCCCAGGGAGCCCCCAGGGCCCGCGCAGCGCCGCCAGCGTGGCGTCGACGTGCGCGGGCCAGCCCGCGGCGGACCCGGCGCGCCCGGGCCCGGCGAGCGCGCTCCTGGCCGCCGCGCAGGAGTTCCTGGGCTCGCTCATGGGCTCCGGCGGCGGCCAGGGCGCGGCAGCGGGCGACGCCGCGGCCGACGACGCGGCCGCGGGCCTGGCGGAGGAGGTGCCCGAGTGCGGCGTCACCATCTGCAGTGGTGACGACGAGGACCCCAGCAATTCGGTCGACATGCCGGTCAGGCACACTTTCATCCATTTCGACGACGCTTGCTCCAGGGGCATGCTCAAGGCCAGGACGTCTGCGAGCAGAAACTCCTCCGCACCTGCTACCATTGAAAGGGTCGAGTTCCGCTTGAAGTACCCAGCAATGGAGGACGCGCATATCAGGGGTGAGTGCAAACCGTGCGCGTACTTTCTCTACAAGGCAGACGGCTGCCGCCATGGAAACCAGTGCAACTTCTGCCACCTCTGCACGGAGGGCGAGCGCAAGAGGCGGAGGAAGGCGAAGCGGGGCCAACCACTGGCGCTTCCCTAGCAACGATTGCTCGCGATTGGTGGCTCGCGAGGCCCAGGCGCTGCCAGCAGTTGCTGTCGACGCTGGCTGTTTTTGCCAGGAGGCTGCGGACAGACGCTCAACTGCACGAAGGCGCCTTGATTGAATCGCGTAGGCTTAAGTCGGGCCTGTCCCTCTACAGGGGGAATCTATTCAAAAATAGTAAAAATAGTATGGTGACTATTTTTGAGCATTTATAAACCATTTTGGAGTATTTCTGAGAACTTTTATTTTTCGTCGAACATTTCCCCCTGTAGGGGGACAGGCCCGACTTAAGCGTAGGCCTCCCCAGCACTGAGTCAGCGGCCAGGAGCGGGAGCCGCACAGCATCGCATCGGTGCGAGCGCGTAGGTCCCCCCAAAATAGATCCTCAGCACCTAGGAACGAGCCCACGCTGCGCAGAGAGCGATGACTTGCGAGCGTGAGTTCGTGTGTGTGTGTGTCAGGAGAAGGAAAACACACAGACACAATTAATCTTCGATTCTCCAGAGAACATGGGAAAACATGGGAAGTGGGGGGGGAAGACAGAAACCCAGAACATATAGGAAACTTATCCCGGCAAAGCAACCTAACAGCGATGTGTAGGAGCATATCTGGAAACATTCCCCTTAAGATTCAGATGAGCATCCTGTTGTAGAATTCTGCTGTTCTCGCAGTCGTAGTCGCATTCGCGATGGCAGTCGCAGTGGCAACGGCAGTCGCAGTCACAGCCTCAGCCTCAGCCTCAGCCTGCCTCAGCCTCAGCCTGCCTCAGCCTCAGCCTCAGCCTGCTTCAGCCTCAGCCTCAGTCTGCCTTCAGCCTCGGCCTCAGCCTCAGCCTGCCTCAGCCTCAGCCTGCATCAGCCTCAGCCTCAGCCTCAGCCTGCCTCAGCATCAGCCTGCCTCAGCCTCAGCCTCAGCCTGCCTCAGCCTCAGCCTCAGCCTGCTTCAGCCTCAGCCTCAGTCTGCCTTCAGCCTCGGCCTCAGCCTCAGCCTGCCTCAGCCTCAGCTGCTCAGCCTCAGCCTCAGCCTCAGCCTCAGCCCTCAGCCTCAGCCTCAGCCTCAGCCTCAGCCTCAGCCTCAGCCTCAGCCTCAGCCTCAGCCTCAGCCTCAGCCTCAGCCTGCTTCAGCCTCAGCCTCAGTCTGCCTCAGCCTCGGCCTCAGCCTCAGCCTGCCTCAGCCTCAGCCTCAGCCTCAGCCTCAGCCTCAGCCTGCCTCAGCCTCAGCCTGCCTCAGCCTCAGCCTGCCTCAGCCTCAGCCTCAGCCTGCTTCAGCCTCAGCCTCAGTCTGCCTTCAGCCTCGGCCTCAGCCTCAGCCTGCCTCAGCCTCAGCCTGCTCAGCCTCAGCCTCAGCCTCAGCCTGCCTCAGCATCAGCCTGCCTCAGCCTCAGCCTCAGCCTGCCTCAGCCTCAGCCTCAGCCTGCTTCAGCCTCAGCCTGAGTCTGCCTTCAGCCTCGGCTTCAGCCTCAGGCTGCCTCAGCCTCAGCCTGCATCAGCCTCAGCCTCAGCCTCAGCCTGCCTCAGCATTAGCCTGCCTCAGCCTCAGCCTCAGCCTGCCTCAGCCTCAGCCTCAGCCTGCTTCAGCCTCAGCCTCAGTCTGCCTTCAGCCTCGGCCTCAGCCTCAGCCTGCCTCAGCCTCAGCCTGCATCAGCCTCAGCCTCAGCCTCAGCCTGCCTCAGCATCAGCCTGCCTCAGCCTCAGCCTCAGCCTGCCTCAGCCTCAGCCTCAGCCTGCTTCAGCCTGAGCCTCAGTCTGCCTTCAGCCTCGGCCTCAGCCTCAGCCTGCCTCAGCCTCAGCCTGCATCAGCCTCAGCCTCAGCCTCAGCCTCAGCCTGCCTCAGCCTCAGCCTCAGCCTCAGCCTCAGCCTCAGCCTCAGCCTGCTTCAGCCTCAGCCTCAGTCTGCCTTCAGCCTCGGCCTCATCCTCAGCGTGCCTCAGCCTCAGCCTGCATCAGCCTCAGCCTCAGCCTCAGCCTGCCTCAGCCTCAGCCTGCCTCAGCCTCAGCCTCAGCCTGCCTCAGCCTCAGCCTCAGCCTGCTTCAGCCTCAGCCTCAGTCTGCCTTCAGCCTCGGCTTCAGCCTCAGGCTGCCTCAGCCTCAGCCTGCCTCAGCCTCAGCATCAGCCTGCCTCAGCATTCAAAATGTGGCCCGGGAATGGAGTTCTGCGAACTCGAAAAGCACGAAGTGGCCTACAGTTGGCTCCGGGCGTTCAAAATCATGCCCAGGAACGGAGTTCTGGGATCTCGAAGACCACGAAGTGGCCTACAGTTGGCTCCGGGCATTCAAAATGTGGCCTGGGAGTGGAGTTCTGGGAACTCGAAGAGCGCGAAGTGGCCTACAGTTGGCTCCGGGCATTCAAAATGTGGCCCAGGAACGGAGTTCTGGGATCTCGAAGACCACGAAGTGGCCTACAGTTGGCTCCGGGCATTCAAAATGTGGCCCGGGAGTGGAGTTCTGGGAACTCGAAGAGCGCGAAGTGGCCTACAGTTGGCTCCGGGCATTCAAAATGTGGCCCGGGAGTGGAGTTCTGGGAACTCGAAGACCACGAAGCGACCTACAGTTGGCTCTGGGCATTCAGAATGTGGACCGGGAATGGAGTTCTGGGACCTCGAAGACCACGAAGTGTGTAACTGTTGGCAAAACAAAAATCCCCGGCACCCTCCCCCGGATCGCGCCCAGACCCCCCTGGGGCGTCATGATGTTCTCTTTTGACCCTACTAGAAACCTAAACCTATATATCAGTCTTCGCTGTTAGGTAATAACCCGGGAATCTCAGCCTGCCTCAGCATCAGCCTGCCTCACCGTGTGCAGCCTTAGTCTGCCTTCAGCCTCGGCCTCAGCCTCAGCCTGCCTCAGCCTCAGCCTGCATCAGCCTCAGCCTCAGCCTCAGCCTGCCTCAGCATCAGCCTGCCTCAGCGTCTGCCTCAGCCTGCCTCAGCCTCAGCCTCAGCCTCAACCTCAGCCTCAACCTCAGCCTGCCTCAGCCTCAGCCTGCGTCAGCCTCGGCCTCAGCCTCAGCCTGCATCAGCCTCAGCCTCAGCCTCAGCCTCAACCTCAGCCTCAGCCTCAGCTTGAGCCTGCCTCAGCCTCAGCCTCAGCCTGCCTCAGCCTCAGCCTCAGCCTCAGCCTCAGCGGTGGATTCCCCATAGTCACTGGCGGCGCTGGGGGCCTCAGCATCAGCCTCAGTGGTGGATTCCCCATAGTCACTGGCGGCGCTGGGGGCCTCAGCCTCAGCCTCAGTGGTGCGTTCCCCATAGTCACTGGCGGCGCTGGGGGCCTCAGCCTCAGCCTCAGTGGTGCATTCCCCATAGTCACTGGCGGCGCTGGGGGCCTCAGCCTCAGCCTCAGTGGTGCGTTCCCCATAGTCACTGGCGGATCCGCGGATTCTCCCCGGATCTTGCCCGGACCCCCCTGGGGAGTCATGATGCTTTCTTTTGAGACCATTAGAAACCTGTCAGTCTTCGCTGTTAGGTAATATGGGGAGTCTTTTTATTTGTGTGTATTTATTTGTGTGTCCTGGGGTCTCTTCAGTGTGTGTGTGTGTGTGTGTGTGTGTGTGTGTGTGCGGGGCATGTGTGTTGGTCCCAGAGCGCCGCTGTCTCTGTGGATTCATGTAAGAGCAGCGGTGAAGTAGCTCCGCTCCTCGCAATGTTTTTTGTTATAGCACTCTTAGCTCTGGGTACTCTTAGCCCGAGGGGGTAGCCATGTAGCTACTGGGACTGCCATTCTTTGCACTGCGCCCGTCATAGCATGCGTCTTAGTCTCTGTCCACGTGTATGCTGCATTTTCCAATTTTCCATCTGCCTCGCCCCCTCATCCTCTCACGGATCGTTTTCCCCCTGTGTTTCTCCTTGCTCTCCCTGTTTGAACACATTGTCCTGGGGGTTAAGTCTCGTTCGCGTTTCCCGGCTTTAGCTAATGACGAAGCCTGGCGAGTTTTTCTTTTGTCACTCCTGTGGCGTGCCTTTTTGCGCAGGGTGGGTGCCCTTGCACACAATACAAGGGCTATGCTGACGCAGCTTGGCGGTGCTCGACGGCATCAGACGACTCTGCTCACAAAACAAACACATGTCGGCGCTCGACATGGTACGGCGAGGAATCGTCGCCGTGTCCGACACTGAGCGTGCGCGTCCCGCGCCAATGCCACTCGGCTGGCACGGTTGCCGGGCACGGGCACTGCGTGTCGCAGCTTTGTTCAACGTGCCTCCTTCGACGGCAGTGCGGATTTTGGGACTCACGCGTTATAATGGCCAAGATGTTCTCTCGCAACGGGCGCTTCTTTGAAGTAATCCAGGGGCGCACCCCTCCCATCCGATACCTAGGGTAATCTGAAATGACCCGCTGAATCCTCGTGACACTTCTATTCAAGCGGCTGAAGCCCAGGGCTTCGTGGGGAAGCTGCTGGGCCATGACAGACGTGGAGGCCATCTTAGGCACCCTGGCCCGAGCACTTCCTTGGGTCGATTTGGGCCCTCTCGGGGCGTTCTTGGGCCCTCGAATCGCAAACCTTACCCTTCCGGCCTGGACACGTGTGTGACCGCACATTTTGGGCTTCCAGGCCTCTCTGGGGGCGTCTCCAGAGGCTTGTGCTTGGCCCAAGGGGGGGCGAGGGCGAGGGGGCGAGGGGGCGATGAGGCCGGGGGACGAGGGGGCGAGGGGACGGGTGGGCGAGTGCGAGGGGACGAAGGGGGGGGGCGATGAGGCGTGGGCGAAAGGGAGGCGAGGGCGAGGGCGAGGAGGAGAGGGGACGAGGGGGCGAGGGGACGAGTGGGCGAGGGCGAGCGGGCGAACAGGGGCGGGGGCAAGGAGGCGAGGGCGAGAGGGGGGCGGTCTTGGGGCCGTCTTGTAACCAATTCCGGGGCCCTCTTGGAGGCCGGCCGGGAGCCGGCCGGGAGCCTCCCGGAGGCATCTCGTGGGCACCTTCGGGCTACCCTGGGGCTTCCAGCGCCTGGGACCCCTTGGAGGCGTATGGAGGCGATACGGCGAGAGTGCATAGAGCTGTGAATAACTCAGTGTGCGTTCCAATGGTCCTGGGTGTCTGGACTGCCTCTGGGGGTCTCTTTAGGGCTCCAGGGAATGCTCTGGAGGCCTCTTGGGCGTGTTGGAGGCTTCTTTGATTTGGAGGCTCTCAGATCACGGAAGCGCCTTGATCAATTCAGAGACCCCCCCAATCGGGATTGTGGACTTCGGGGGACCAGGGGGAGGGGGGCAGACAATCATCTAACCTGCCGTCTCACCCCCTGGCATGTGAGAGTCGCGGACAGGAAGCCGTTGCGTTGAACGCCTCGGGAAATCTGAGACGGTGGCAGCATTTCGACGTCTGGCAGTCCTCTGGACGCCCATGGACCCAAGCAGCCCATAGTGCGAGCAGGAGGAGTAGGAGGAGGACGAGGAGGCGCCCGCTGCTCACATGCGAAATGATCATCCATGTGTCTTCTGGGTCCCTGGTGCTCTGGCGCGTTTGGGGACTTCACACTCCCCTCCCCCTTTCCGCTCGCACTCTGTCCTCGACCTGCTGTGCTCCATTCGGCCCCGTGGCATCCCTCGGCTGCCCCCAAGCGCGGTGAGGACTCGCTGCTGCGACCACAAAAATCATCCGGGTTCCGCAGTTGGCGGGCGAGAGTCAAGGGAGGAAAAACCAACTGGACCGGATAGGTGGCGTATATTGAGCGGCCATGGGCGTTTACTACACAGCCCTGCCCGGTTCGATTCTTTCCTTGGGTGCGTTTACTAACGATTTTGCGTGTCGGGGTGATTACCATGAGGGTGGATTTTCTGCTCTAGAGCGGGGCCCGTGGGTCTTTGGGGGCCCGAGGCTCGGGGAGTGGAGCCCGTGTGCTCATCTTGGCGAACGAGCACACGCCCATGCCCATCGGGGGGGCGGAGGGGGCTACGGGTGCGTGCTGTCGGGTGGGGCCCCTCGCTCGAACGAGCGCCTCTTTTGGGGTCCGACAGCCCGCGCCCATAACCACAGCCAGCCCTTCTCTCTCCGACCCCCCTGTGGGTATGGATGTGCACGTTTCGTGTGTCACGATGTATCATCCAATGTCGCAGGATCTCAGAGATCCCCGGTTCCCCTGTCCGATGGGAGGAGGCGGGACCCCGGCGGGACACCGCGCGCCACCGGCCCCCGGTCAGGAATCATTTGGTCCGGCCGCGCCTCAGCCGGAGGCGGGACACCGGCGGGACACCGCGCGCCACCGGCCCCCCGTCAGGAATCATTTGGTCCAGCCGCGCCTCAGCCAGAGGAGACTTTCTTCTCGCCCGCCCACGCAGCTTCGCCTCGCCCGCACGCACGGCACGCACGAACACGAAACCGAAACCGATTTCCGGGTATGGGGGCTCTCCGTTCCACTTCGATCTCACCGCCTCACCTCCGATATGTGCGTCGCCCCCCAGGGGCGACGCGCGCGCCGAGAAATCTTGTAGTGTATGTGTCGCGGCGGGCGCTTTCTGGCCACACCGCTCGGGAAACGATATACTACAGGATGGTTATACTACATGTTCGGGTCGGACGCGCGCCTCCAAGGAGGACGTATAGTATTAGTATGTCTCTGTGCGTCCCATTGTCTGTGCCGCTGCCACTTCGCCCGCCTCTGCGGTCCAGCCCGTGCCCGTGGCCCCCTGTGAGCGCCTTTGGGTTGTGATGTTCCAGCCGCCTGAAGCACCGGAAAGAACTTCGAGCACCAAGAACGTACCGAAACTGGAGGGTGAGGAGGCCCAGGCGAAAAATGCCCCCCCCCCCCCCCCCCCAGTTTAATTCGAACAGAAACGGAGCCGAAATCCAGCTGACCCCACCTGGGCTCTCGTGCATCTTTGCGCGTGGCTTCTTTTTCCTTGCGGCTGGCTTTTTGAAATGCGCGGTTACCGTGGCTATGGCGCGTCGGGCTCTGGGAGGCGATACTCGTTCGACACCGTTTCGATACTTCTCATTGTGTTCGAAATCATTTTTTGATGTGGTCCTTAAGTACGATGGGAGCAACAACATGAGCCTTGGGATCCAGCCGGGCAGCCGATGAAACAAATGTGTCTTGTGGCGCCCGGGTCTGACGGGCACAAGGGACCCGTGGGTGTTTGCTGGTACCCATGCTGGTGGTCAAGCTGAAGGAGGATCGCCAGTCTCTCTTCTACCTCGCCTCCTCCCGGGCGGGTGGGGCAAACAGTCCTGTCTGGGCTTGCAAAGCATTCCATCCCCTCCGCCTATTCCTCGCCTCCCCCCGTGAAGGTGACGATTGCGGAGAAGAAGTACGAGATTCTGTCCATCGCCTCGCCGAAAACTCACGGAACCACCACAGTCTACTCCGTGGTGATGAGCATGCCGGCGGGGGGGGGAGGGTCGTCCGCGTGCCTCCGAGTAGCGAGGGCGATGCGAAGATGCCGAAGGGTGTCGGTGAGGTGCGGAGGATACTTGCACCATAGTGGAAAAGGAAAGCCAGGGATTCAATTCTTCTCCTTCTTCCTTTTCCTTCCCTTAGTCATCCTCCCCCCTCCTTCCCTTTCCCTCCTTTTTCTTCTCCTTTTCCTCATCCTCCTTATTGCTCTTCCTTTCCCCTCCCCCTTCATCCACCCTCCCAAGAGTCCCCCAGGAAGTCCTGTCTATGACCGCCAAAACACTCAGAACCGAGGAGACCCGCTGGATCACGCAAACCCCTCCCAGACCTCCTCTTCGGTAGGGGGAAACCACACAGACACAATCAAGCGTCGATCCCCAGGAACATAGGGAGGAGGAGGAGGAGGAGGAGGAGGAGGAAGAGGAGGAGGAGGAGGAGGAGGAGCAGGAAGAATAATAAGAAAAAGAAACAGAAGAAGAAGACGAAGACGAAGCAGACGAAGAAGAACAATAAGAAGACGAATAAGACGAAGAATAATAAGACTAAGAAGAAGACGATGAAGACGACGAAGACGAAGACGAATACGAAGAAGAAGACGAATAATAATAAGAATAATAATAAGATTAATAATACTAAGAATAATAATAAGAAGAATAAGGAGACGAATAAGCAGAGTAATCAGACAAATAATAAGAAGACGAATAAGAATAAGAAGAAACATAATAACATCAAGAGAAATACTAATATTAGTAATAATAAGAATAATAATACTAGTAATAATAAGAAGAAGACGAATAATAATAATAATATTAATAATGCGAAGAATAATAATACGAAGAAGAATAATAATCACAATAATAGTAATAATAATAAGACTAAGAATAAGAATAGTAATAATAATAATAATCAGAATACTAATAAGACGAAGACTAATACTAATAATAATAGGAACACTAATACTAATAATAATACGAAGAAAAAGAAGAAACATACTAATAAGAAGAAGACGAATAAGACGAATCAAACTAATACTACTAATACTGATAATAATAAGACGAATAATGCGAATACGAAGAATAGTAATAATAATCATAATGCTAATAGTAATAATAAGAAGAATACTAATAAAACTAATAATAAGAAGAATAGCAATAATACTAAGAAGAAGACGAATACTAATAATAATAAGGAGAATAATAAGAATAATAATAATAATAATAATAATAATAATAATATCAATAAGAAGAAGGAGGAGGAGGAATGGGAGGTGGAGGGGAATGCGAACCTCCGGACAGGATGGGGAAACTACGGGCAATCCTCGGATCTGTGCCTCGACCTCGAGGGTCCCCGCAGCACGGATGGCCCGTCGAGCGCCTCGCTCCTCTCCTCGTCCACCACCGCCCGCTGCCCGCCTGCCCGCCTGCCTCCTCCTCCTCCTCCTCATCCTCCTCCTGCTCCTCCTCCTTCCCCTTCCCCCATTCCCCACTCCTCTTGCTCCTCTCTTCCTCCCTCCTCCCTGCCCCCTTCTGCTCTCCCCCTTCCCCCATGCCTCCTCCTCTCCTCCTCCCTCCGCCCTCGCTCCCTCCTTTCCCCATCCTCGTCGTCTCTCTTCTCTCCTGCCTCTCCTTCCTCGCCCCCCTTCCCGCTCTTCGCCTCCACCTCCCCCTCCCTTGCCTTCCCCCTGCTCTTCCTCTTCCTCCTCCACCTCCTCCTCCCTCCTCCTGCCCTTCCCTGAGCTCATCCTCTAAATCGTCGGTTTTTCGGCCCTTGCTGGGCCTCTGGAGATCTCCTCGGGAGCCCTTCAGTAAGTGTCGACCCAGAGCTCGGCGACCTTACCAACCCTGCCACCTCCGATCTTTGGGCCAACCGCACGCTGCGGTGCCATCCCGTGAAAAATTGAGCGTAGCGTCCTGGACTTGGCGATCGGGCGACTGGCCAACACCCTTGCGCACCTATCGATACTGTTGGCGCCGACCCAACATCACGTGGAAACGCCACCGCCAGCTTCCCATCGCCGACCAGCTGCTCCAAGTCTCCTGCTGTCTCCTGCGTGCTGCTCGCACTCCGAGCGGTCGCCAGGGCCCCCCGAGCAGCCTGCGCACAAGCC